AATATTTGGAAAAAATAATTCCTTCCTTCATCTACGCTGGTTTGTCTCTTGCTCCTAGAACCTGTAATGAGGAGGGCATTATTCATAGATCAGCTATTTTATTATTGATAAATTATAAATTAAATAGGTTTTCCAGACTAGCCAAGATCCTAATCACCCTTGGAAATAACGTTGTGTATAAGTAAATGCATTTCTAGTAATAGTCAACCTTGAATGAACTCGTAAAACCAAGCCTGGTCTTAAATTGCTATTTGGGAATATCTAAGATTCCTAGGAAGCCTCGATGGCACACCTGGGTGGTGCAAATAGTTAAGCACTCAGCTACTAGCCAAAAGGTTGGCAAGTTGAACGCACGCAGAGGAGTCTTGGAAGACAGGCCTGGGAGCGATCTGCTTCTGAAAGGTCACAGCCTTGAAAACCCTATGGAGCAGTTCTACTCTGCACACATGGGCTCGCTATGAGTCAGAATTGACTCGACAACAAGATTCCTAGCAGCTTAACATGTTCAAATTCCAAATGAGCAAAATGAGTTTGTTGTGTTTACTATGTACATTTTTGTTGTAATTGACAAATGTTTAAAGGCATTTAAATAAAAATGAGAAAACAATTCCAGTAAAATCAGGGTTGCATTTGATTGAAAGTAAAGCAAACTTTATAAGGTAATTATAAAGGGTAATTATTATATAAAGAACCTATACCAAACAAACACATGCAAATTCTTAAGAAATTATAATGGCCAAGTAGATGCTTGGTAAAAATACAATTATTTTAAAAATACGTATATTAGGTAAATACAAAAGAAAACAAAAAAATATATATACTGATCATCAAATTAACAAATTTTTCTCATTTTTACCATTTTTTTAAAGTGATAATACTCTCTGTTCCTGAGATTATGGGAAATAAGGTCTTCTCATTCACTGGTAGGAGCCCTGGTGGCTCAATGGTTAAGTGCTCAGCTGTTAACCACAAGACTGGCATATCAAACCCACCATCAGCTCAGCAAGGGGAAAGTTTACAGCCTATCTAGTAAGAAGACCAAACTTAATGGTCTGACTGAGACTGGAAGAACCCCGGAAAGCACAGCCCCCGGACTTTCTGTCAACCTAGAACTAAAACAATTCCCGAGGCCAATTCTTCAGACAAGGATTGGACTAGACTGTAGGACATAAAATGATACTCGCGAAGAGTATGCTTCTTAGCTCAAGTAGATACGTGAGACTAAATGCGCAGCTTCTGTCCGGAGGTGAGATGAGAAGGCAGAGAGGGTCAGGAGCTGGTTGAATGGACACAGGAAATCAGGGGTGGAAAGGAGGAGCGTGCTGTCACAGTATAGGGTGAGCAATTAGGGTCACATAACAATGTATGTATAAATTTTTGTGTGAGAGACTAACTTGAGTTGTAAACTTTCACTTAAACTACAACAACAACAAAAAAAGATTACAGCCTCTGTGGGGACCATGGCCTCTGGGAACATCTAGTTCAATTGTAACATAGTTTATAGAGAAAATGTTCTACATTCTACTTTGGTGAGTAGTATCTGGGGTCTGAAAAGCCTGTGAGTGGTCATCTAAGATACTCTTCTGGTCTAACCCCTTTAGGGGCAAGGGTGAATGAAGACAACAAGATACAAGGGAAAGATTAGTCCAAAGGACGAATGTGCCACAACTACCACGGCCTCCACCAGACTGAGTCCAGTACAACTAGATAGTGCCCGGCTACCACCACTGAGTGCTCTGACAGGGATCACAACAGACGGTCCCAGACAGAGCTGGAGAAAAATGTAGAACAAAATTCTAACTCTCAAAAAAAGAACAGACTTACTGGCCTAACAGAGACTGGAGAAACCCCAAGACTGTGGCCCCCGGACACCCTTTTAGCTCAGTAAAGAAGTCACTCCTGAGGTGCACCCTTCAGCCAAAGATTAGACAGCCCCATAAAACAAAACAAGACTAAAGGGGCACAACAGTCCAGGGACAAGGACTAGAAGGCAGGAGGGGACAGGAAAGCTGGTAATAGGGAACTGAAGGTCGAGACGGGAGAGTGTTGACATGTCGTGGGGTTGTTAACCAATGTCATAAAACAATATGTGTACTGTTTAATGAGAAATTAGTTTGTTCTGTAAACATTCATCTAAAGTACAAAAAAAAAAAAAAAGATTGCAGCCTAGGAAACCTATGAAGCAGTTCTACTCTGTCCTGTAGGGTCGCTTTGTGTCAGAATCAACACTATGGCACACAAGAACAACGGCATTCACTAGCGAAGCATAAACTCCAGGGCTATTGGTCCAACCTGGTGGGAAAGCAATTTGATAACATGCATTGAGGTGTTCATAACCTTTGACCCACCGGTTCCCTTTCTCTAAAATTAAACTAAAAAATATTCCTGGATATAAAATGGAGCCCTGGTGGCAAAGTGGTTAAGAGTGTTCAGGCTGCTAACCAAAAGGTCAACAGTTTGAATCTACCAGTTGCTCCTTGGAAACCCTACCCTGTCTTATAGGGTCATTATGAGTAGGAATCAACTCGACGGCACACAACATCCAATATAAAATAGCCTTCATATGTTCATCATGATGTTATTTATAGAAGCAAAAAATGCAAAATAACTTGTGTTTAACAACAGAGGAAGAATTAAATAAATTCTGATACAGTCATTGGATCTGATATCATGAGGCCTAAAAATAATGTTTATGGAGACTGTATATTAAAAAGTATATATTCTGTGAGATTTCCATACATTTAGCTATGTATGTGAAAATTCTGGAAAGAAACTCACTGAAGCATTATCGGTGATTGTCTTTGCTTTGTAGGAGTGGCAGAAAGTGAGTGAGGTGGATAAGAGCATGGGATCTAGGATCTGGGGCCAAACTGCCTGACTTCAAATCCAAGCTCTGCCACTTGAGTAGCTGTTTGGGCGAGTTTTAAGCTAAGTTTTCTCCATCAGCAAGTTGACAGTAAAATAAATAGTATAGTACCTACCTCCTGATGTTTTTGTGAAGATTAAATTTGCTGACACATATAAAGCACTGATAATAATGCCTCCTGGCATATAGTAAGGAGTCAGTAAACGTTAAAACCAAAAACCAAACCACTTGTGGTCAGTTAGATTCCGAGTCATGGCAACCCCATGTGTTACACAGCAGAACTGTTCCATAGGGTTTTCTTGGCTGTAATCTTAAGAGAAGCAGATTGAGAGGGCTTTCTTCCATGGCACCCCTGGGTGGATTCAAATCTTCAACCTTTAGATTAGTAGTCAAACACAAACCATTTATACCAGCAAGGAATTTTCTAATAATCTTGAGCTATTTTCTGTTTATTTGGATGGTAGAACCAATATGAGCAGGCTTTTTGCCCCCTGCTTTTCTACATTTTTCAAATCAGCTTTTCTTTCTTGAGTATGTTACTGTTGTATTGGGAGGGGAAAGCAACATTTTCTTGAAGGCCCTGAGAACTTGGTCAGGTAGATTTTCTAGTAGCACAGACTCAGATTCTTTTTGGAATATCACAATATTTAATCAAAGAATGGATATTTCATGGTTGCTGAAATCCAAGAATTGGAGTTACAGTGGTGATTAAAATGAACTTTGTGTTCCAGATGCCCATTTCATAAGAAGTTGGGATAGTTCTGTTTCCATAAAGGACTGCATGCCTCCTTTGGAAAAACTTGTGTTTACCCGATATTCACTTTCCCCCTCTACCCTTTGCTTTTACTTAACTCCTTACCAGGCATTTTCTTTTCCCTACAACTTGCATGTATTTTAAACTATGAAATCACATGTTTTAATAGTATCAGGACAAAAATTTTCAAAATATTTATAATACTGGAATAAGTAAATTTTCTTGGGTGAGGAAAGTAATTTAGGGAAAGGGGAGAAAGATCACGTCTTACTTCTTTTACTAATTTCTGAAATTTTCAACAACTATCATGCATAATTTGATTCCCATATAAAATGAACATTTTAAAAATATATTTTAAAGTTCCAGGAGCAGAAAGCAAATTAAAGGGAAAGTTGCTTTTTCTTGCCCCAATTTCCCCCAAGTTTTCAAGAAAAAGATCTTGGAAAAAAGTCTCTTTACTCATTTTGGAAACTTCTCTTGCCAGCAAGTAATGAGTCTGTACAGTACAGCTACCAAGGCAATGTCAAGACCATGTAGAAAGAGAGAGAAGGTATGGTGTGCAGTTGGAGACATGATGAAAATGGATTAACAATGTAATGAATAGGGGTCTTTTTTTTTAAATTGTTTTAATTGTACTCTAGATGAAGGTTTACAGAACAAACAGTTTCTCATTAAACAGTACACATATTGTTTTATGACATGGGTTAACAACCCCACAACATGTCAACACTCTCCCTTCTCGACCTTGAGTTCCCTATTACCAGCCTTCCTGTCCAATAGGGGTCTTTTTTATTGGAAAAAAAATTAAAATTGCACTACAAGGAAGGAAGCGTTGCTGATCTGCTTCCATAAACATTATAGTCAAGAAAACCTTATGGAGCAGTTCTACTCTGCAACATTTGGGGTCACCACAAGTCAGAATCAACTTGATGGCAATAGGTTCTGTAGGGTACCCTTTCTAAAGTGGTTATGCTAACAGTTCTAACATCTCTTGTTATAAGAACTGCATTATGATAAGGACTTTTTTTCCCACATGGCCTTGTTCACATGGACACATGATTTGTCTCCTAAATACGTCCCAGTCTTTGTAACACTGTACTGATCCATGTCAAAATAGTCCCACTGCTTTAAAGTTAGACAAAGATATTTTTCATTTGTAAAACCAGAAACATTTTTTCTGTAAGTTCTACTTGAAGCCCTGGATTCATCCAGACCCCTCCAGACAATGACTACTCCCAAAGCATCACAAATATTTGCTGCTTAAATAAATTTACTCTTATCAGACACGGGTAACCGCCAGCCAAATATTTGTCCATTTTTCTAGGACTGTGGCTTCAGTTTCAGAAAAGACACAATTTTTCTCCTTTTTTTTTTCTTCAGGTACAATCCTTGGATTTACTCTCCGACCATACAAAATGAGCTACCGGGAAGTCAAGTACTTCTCTTTTCCTGGGGAACTCCTGATGAGGATGTTACAGATGCTGGTGTTGCCACTTATCATCTCCAGTCTTGTCACAGGTACCACATACAGTTGTTTTTAAGTGTGCTTCTTGCAAAAAGATCGCTTAGAAAAAGCAAACGCTTTAGGTTTCTGCTGGATGCATGCTCTGTTCTAGAAAAAAAAAAAAAAGTCCCTTCAAAATGATGGAAAGGGGGCTTTAGTAATGCATGAATGATTATAACTCGTATTTTGCCAATCACAAGAGGAAACGGATTTAAACCACCACGTAATCTGGTCTGCCTCACTATGAAAGAAGTGCCCTGCTAAACACTACACAACCAGCCTTCTCTGACCACAGTGATGTAGTTGACAACAGCGTACAACAGGTCTGTTTTCTCACCCTCTTATCCCACCCAGATAACATCTGGTTGGACAGCCTATTAGCTATTGATGCAAGAATGCTTGTTCTCAGAGCCACCAGGACTTGAGCGGGAGCCTTCTTGGAAGCCTCATCAAGAGGTAATGCCCACCACACACTCACCAACTCTGCTGCCACCAACACTTTTATCTTTTTCTGGTGTACCCGCATGATCTCATTTCCTTCTCCAGTTGCCCCCCACCCCCATTACCTTTTACGATGGTGGGAGAATGGGGAGGGGGTGGGAGATTTTCTCATCTGGATACGTCCTCAGTGGACACTTGAATTTTCAATGAGTGCAAGTTTGCAGGATAGGATTCTCTTTTCTGTGACAGGGAGGTAATTTACTCCTGTATGGGAAAAGGTTAAAGAGTCGTTTGCATATGTGACTGGTGAATACAAATGCAGCCAAGGAGTTGCAGTGTTACTGTGCATTCCTTCCTGCCCACTCTTCTCTTTCCCCACAGCTCATCTCTGACTTGGAGAAGGCATTTCCATAGACACTGCCCCCACACAATAGTTTTTGGGTTTGTAGCTGAAGTCCAGTACTCAGGTATTAATGACCCTGTTCTCTTTCCACCCTTGGCTCACCATCTACCCCTAAGTGGACCACTCTGCTTCTACATGAGCTGGCTTCTGAGCATCTTTTCCCCGAGGGAGTTCTCAAGGATACTTACAATCTCCTTTTGAGATCTCTGTGTAATGAGAACTTTGTAGTCCATCTTAAAAATCATGAGCAAGATTCTGACTATTGCATCTCTTAAAGGGCTAGCCATTACTTTACCAGAAACTATTTCAAATTTTTCCTCCATGTCTTGCAGATCTCTGCTGGCTTCCACTTGTCCAGGGCCTTAACAAGTTATTGCATATACACAAGTTCCACTGGAGGATGAATTGCGCATAAAACCATCATATAGACAAGTTGATTTGGGGTACTTGGTTATGAAACTGGCCTGGTCCATTGCTGATTAGGAATAATCATAGCAACAACAATTCTTATCACAGAAATGTTATTAAATGCTCCTACATAAGGGCACATCTTCATTTATTACTCAGGTGCTGCCATTTTTCTAGGGGAACAAGTTCTTTGCAGAAAGCACTTACAGGACAAAATCAATATTCCCCATTTTAATTAGTAGATCAGTGAGTCCCTCTTCACCATCCCTACTGAACTGAGAAGGTACAGTTTTCCTGGGTTGATGACACACACTGAGGGGTCCTGGATTCCTTTATGCTGTCTCTTCCAGGATGGAACTGGTGTTTAGAGGTTTCCGCCTTCTGGCAATTGTGTTGAAAACCTACTGTATTGCTCTATAGAGGAGGTGAGACAAGGCCCTCAATCAGTAGAGTTAAAGAAATTATGAAGTCCCAGTTGACATTACCTTGAAATAGTACTTTATGGGATTTTCTAATACTCAATGGATCAACTTTATCAAAGGAATAAGAGCTTTGGTCGAGAAATAATAATTTTGTAGAAAGAATACTATAATGTAATCCCTTTGCGTGGTTAAAAAGAGATGTGTGGGCCCACCTGGGAGAAATTATCACTGCTTATAATATTGTTGTTAAAGAGAAAGGAATTGTGAGCTGCAAACAACCAACACAAAATGAATTCTTGAAAGGTAAGCTAATTGCAAGTTGAGTGTGCTGCCATTTAAGACCATTAAGAGATTCTCAGTGCTTATCCAGGACTGTGTTAAGACAGGGAGCCTGAGGGGGTATAATTTAGTTTGCCAAAGACCTTTTTAAGGTGTTAATGTCAAAGGAGTAATTTCTAAGCTGTACAATAATATAGATACTTGTGTTCAATTGGAATGGATGATTCAATAAGAATCTCCAGTGATGGGGAGAGAGGAAATTTTGCAAATTACACATATCCCTGGAGAATCCCTGTGAGTAATGGGGGCTGTTACTAGAGAATGTGTTGCCCAAGGAGGGAGCAAAATCAGGCTCCATCATTATGGAATGGAAAAGCAAACTCAAACGCCTCGGTGGGCAGGCAGGTGACGTATACATAGGAAACTGCCATCTCAAGCTACTTTTTGTTTTCTTACTTTGATAGTCATGGATTCAGAGAAACATTTCTTTTCACCAGGAGAAGTAACAGGGACATGTGGGATGTTTGTGACCCAGGTGCAGAATAGTGTGGACAAAGGGAGGCAAGGAGACAACTGTAAACTGAAAAATTTAAGTCTAGGGAGCTCCAGCCAATTGTTGCCATGTGGGAACCAAGGCCAAATCTTCTCAATTTTCAGGAGAATCCAGAAATCCGAATTTTTTAAAGAACCTCTAGGTTTTTAAATTTTAGTACAATTAAAACAAAACGCTGCAAGCCAAACAAAACCCATCTGCAGGCCCAGTCCAACTGTAGGCTTACCAAGATTGGAGCTCCAGTTTGACGCTCGGTGCTATTAATTATAGGAAAGGCATTGTGAGGCTGCCACTGGATTTCGTATGTTGTTTTATTCGTTCATTGACAGTTCTGTGCCAATGCTTGACTAATAACATGGAATCAGCTACTGAAGCACCATGTTTATTGCCAACGAAACAAATAGCTATTGGAAAACCTCTCCATCTTCTGGGTGTAAAGTAAGTTGTGTCATAGCTGTGCTGGTCTTTCCTGTACCAGACAGAAACACCAGAATAAGAACCCAGAGGTCATGTTCTCCCACAAGACGTTTCCTGATGGGCCAAATATTTGACAGACAGCGCTCTTAAGTTCAAAGTCCCCAGGTTCTGCCCAGATAGAAATCCAAATGGATGAAACCCTTATTGCATTTCTTGGGCTGAGCGTTTTGTTTTAGAAGATTCTAGGAAACATACTGTACATTTACTTGTACTAAAGTTACATTTAAACATTGAGATATCTGAGTTAGGTCTTTGAACTTGAAACACCTGTGTTTGTGAATTGTGGCTCTGGGGCCCCCTATAAGCCATGTTCTCCTTTTCCTGAATTCTGAAATTTTGATCTTTCCAAACGTCATTGGTGTGTATTAGCATTCCAGAAGCTTCCAGAGAGAAGCTAGAAGTAAGCTTAATGGCTAGATTTGTATTCAAATGCCTATTTTTTCTTTTCTTTTTTCTATTTTTTTTTTTTTTTTTTGTTGTTGTTTAAACAAGAAGAATGTATCTGTGTCAACACACTACACAATAAAACAGGGATTTGCGCCAGTTTCTATTGATTTGGTCAAGATAGGCAGCCAAACTAGATATTTCATGCCAGAAATAGGAGTTGCTTTGACTAGCTTAGCCTGATTAAATTAACTGGATAATAATTAAACTCCATTTCAGGTTGTACTGTGTAGACATCACTATCATCTCTTGCTGACTGCTGTATCATTTTAGAAAACAAGCGCATTCTTCTTTTCTTATTCCAAGTGTACATTCCCCCCTCGCTCACTTACCTCATGTGACATCTTTGGTGTCTCCCCAGTTTTCTGGAAGTGGGGATCATAACATTTGACAAACAGAATCTATGCAGAGTTGGGCTTTTTCATGTCCTTCACAACTATATGTGAAAATGGTTGGAGAGATTGTCAACAGCAACAGTCTAAGTAGCAGCAGTGTCTGGGGCCTATGGCAGGGCACACTGGAGGTAGGATTGTAATAGGAGTGTTTATCTTTTAACATTTATTCATTCATTAACAAATATTTCTTGAGCTCTTACTATGTCAGGCCCTGTGCTAGGCACTGGGGATACACAAAGATATAGTCCCCAAGAAGATGTATGGGAGAGGGGTTGGGGAGAGCTTCCCTGCACCTCTTAAATCATACAATATACAGTATATGTAAGCAAATTCCCATTCCAATTCCACCAGTGAGGGAGTAAGTATTGTCATATGTACTCCCAAAAAAAAGGAGACAATTTGATTAATTTTAAGAACATGATACCAAATCTGATTTTCAGAGTCAAGGCGCCTCCATCCCAAAGTCAACTAGTTCAGAACTTTCCAATATGAGTAAAAAGAAAACCTGTTGCCATCGAGTTGATTCCGACTTATAGCAATCCTATAGGACAGAGTAGAAATGCCCCATAGTGTTTCCAGGGAGTGGCTGGTGGATTCAATCTGCCAACCTTTTGGTTAGCAGCCAGAGTTCTTAACCACTGCACCACCAGGGCTCCATTTCAATACGAGTACCACCCCTATTCTCATTTACTAAAAACTTTCTTTAAATCAACATAATTTTCTTTCAGTGCTCTCAAATCATTACCAAGAAATGGAAATGAGAAAATAATAAATTACAATGTTATGGAATTCTAGACTGATATTGTTGCCTGTAAAAAGTTCTGAGAGTTTTATACACTCCCGATGTTTAAAAAAAAAGGGTGGGAGGTGGGATTGGCAAATGTTAAACCAACCAGTTGCCATTGAGTCAGTTCTGCCCCCATGTGTATCAGAGTAGAACCATCTTCCATAGAGTTTTTGAATTTTTGTAAGTTTATCACCAGGCCTTTCTTCTAAGTCATCTTTGGGAGAACTCAAACCTCCAACCTTTCAGTTAGCAGCTGAGGATGTTAACAATTTGCACCACCCAGGGACTCCAGCAAATGTTAAAGAGGTGTTAAATCCACATGAGCACTCAAATGAGACTTCCCCTTTCCTATAATCCAGAGCATTGGAGGAGATTTGGAAAGAATGACTTTCGCATTATGTGATT